GAAATTAAGTCAGAAGCCTCCGGAGGCTCACCCATGGGAGTTCCTCTCAACTCTGACTTAGAACTAGTTTTAAAATTTTTTCTCGTCTCGAGCAATTGCTGTCACTACTGGCTCATGTTTATTTCTTCTATCTATTAATTTTTTAATCAAATTTCAATAAGAAAAAGCAGTATCTGGGACATTTTCTGGTCCAAACACCTTATAAAATTTTTGTAATGCATCTCCCACTCTTCTTCATCTTTTTACATCTATAACCCCCTCTTGGGGAAACCATGGGCAGATGTCTTTCACGAAATCAAAGAAATGAAATGAATCCTCAGTTGTAACCTTTACTCCTCTTGCCTGTAAAACTTTCCTTAACTGTATCACATATTTTTGATGCTGACTTAATTTTTTGCCCCATGATTGAACGACCAACTTACCTGTCGGCTCGGTCACAGCAGGCTACCGCGACGTCTCCGAACTATTTGAGCGGGTACGCACCCCTTCTTCTTCCGTTGTGTCCCTCACGTCCCCCAGTATCCAGGCCCCACGTTGGGTGCCATGCTGCGGGAGGCCATCCCACAATGTGACTCGGTTCTGACCCGCAGAACTTCCATGAAGTACCTGGATTGGGGGGTGGGGATGAAAATGAGGCAAGGACAAGAGAAATGGAGACAAGACAGGATTCTGATCAAGTCTTGTTTATTAAAGCTCAAACATGAGTTTTTATGGAGAATGAGAACAAAGGCACACATACTGCAAACCATTACATCAGTCAGAGCACAAGGGCTCTGATGCACATTAAGGGAGGAATCTCTGATTATAGAAGAATAGAACCGTGTGCTGAAAAAGAGAACAAGGCCGTGGGCCAAGGCTATCTAGCAAGGCTATCTGGCCCCAGCTTCAAGCCAAGGTTTTGAGCCAAGGTTGCGAGCCCTGGCTGCAAGCCAAGGTTTCCGGGCCAAGGCTGAGGGCAGAATGAAAAGTTGCCAGCTTAGGCCTGTCAGCAGTTTTTGAGAGGTAGCTGAGACTCAGTTGAACCTCAGGCTCCCAGGCTCCCAACATTTATGCACTACATTAAGCAATACTGAACTCATCTGTGATGGAATGCCCTAACCACACAGTGGAGATCAGTGATTATCTTCCCTTGTTAGTCTCTCCTGTTCATTCTCACCCCTGAGTATTCCCAGAGAATAACTGCTGGGGTTTGGAGGAGTCTCTATTGCTAATGAAATCTAAATTATGATTCTCAGTGTGCATTCAGATAATGTTAAAAATAAAATGAAGATATTTTCTGATCATATGAAAACTGAGATTTATCCACACACATTGTCAACAGCATTTCCCTGACTACTAATTTTAACTCCTTTCTTCTTGAACAAGTATTTCAAACTCTAGGGGTCTAAATTTGATTAAGAACTGTTATACAAAATTTTATAAAGCTCAGAGGCTTTCTCTAAATCTATTGATATGACCATGTAGTTCTTGTCTTTGAGCCCATTTATATGATTTATGACATTTATTGACTTATGTATATTGAACCATCCCTGCATCTCTGGGATAAAGCCAACTTGATCATGGTGGATGATCTTTTTGATGTGTGTTTGTATGCAGTTTGCAAGTATTTCGTTGAGAATTTTTGCATCTGTGTTCATTAAGGATATGGGTCTATAGTTTTCTTTTTTGGTTGTATCTTTACCTGGCTTTGGTATTAGAGTGATGCTGGCTTCATAGAAGGAATTTGGAAGTCCTCCCTCCATTTCTATTTTTTTTTTTAACAAATTAAGTAGTAGGG